AATTAAGATCAGTTCTGATCTTTTTCATATGCATGTATGATGCTTGCCACGTATCGATTCAAATGTGTGTCTAAAAAAAGGGTTCAATAGCATTCTATTTAACAGTTAAAGTATGAGCTGATCGTTTGTTGAAATTCAGAAATGTATCTCAAAAAGAATCCTAGTTGACAGTACCCATATAGCGGATAGTAAACAGAAATCAAACAATAAGAAGATATTCAAATTTTTGCCGAATTTTTTCAGTGAAAGTGCGCGCATCATTTTATTTTAAATGAACTACCTTTGTAGCACAAGCAAAAAAAATTGTCTTTAGGTTGTTCATTGTTGCCGTCGGCTTGCAGAGAAAAATTTGACTATCTAGAAGAATATGAATCAAACAATATTCATAAATCAAAATCAACCTCAGCATTATCGTAGCCCCCTTAAAACAATACATAGATCTGTATCCTAGAAAATTTCAGGGATCGTACTTCATGAGACTTCCGCTGTTTTGTTTTATCTTCTTTTTTTATAACTTACAACCATTCGGAAAAGTATAGGGATAGCAATTTGTTGTTGTTTGTATTTCTTGATACGTATAAGCATAGGAAAAGAAAATCTATTGATTTTCATCAATGAATTTACCATTAAATACTTTAATCGTTCTTTTATGACATTGGTCAATATGATTTCAACAATTTGTTGTATTCTTTGAAACTCTTTGGATATTAAATGAATGTATCGTGTTCTACTGTATTGGAAAAATAGATTAGTTTCATCAACAATATCTCAGCATTCTGAAGCATAGTCTAAATATCTGGTTCTTACAAAGATAGAAAAAGTACCGAGCAATCGCAACTTATCAATGACCAAAAAACCGGTTGTTTTGGTTCATGTTATTCAACTAAAGAAATATGAAAACCTTGGTAGTTGTCTTAATCTTTTTTTACAATAATATTATATCTGAATCTATGGTACCTATTAGATATATTTCTCACATAACCATTGCAGTCAATCTAGTACTAATGTTAATACTCAAGAGAATTTTATTACAATGTTGATTTCATTTTGAATCTTCCATTGTTACTTTTTTATTTCGCAATAATTAAATACATGATAAAAGAAATGCGAGAGAAATTTTGATCTTTTCAACTATCCTTAGATTATTTTTTTTGTGTTAATTTTCTATTACTGAAAAATACGACACAATAAAACAAATTTAATTCTGAAGAACACAATTGATCAAATAGATTTCTATCCATCAAAACATAAATCATTATACTGATGAAAATAATACAAAAGAATTGAAAATTTCTTCGAAATACTAGAAACAATCAATGATAACTGTTGAAATCTCACTGTATTAAACATTAAAAATAAATATAATGTGAACTGATAGCTTGAACTGAAGTTCGTCTCGCACGACTTCCAAAATGTTAATCTTCATATGACGTCTTGCACTCATATCAAATCACATAAAATTAGGAAACTTTTATATTCTTGTCGTTCGAATACAATATTAGAATTATTATTATCTCCCTTACTTTTTGTTGTATCTTACAGACAGGTATAAATATATTTTTACTCTTGTAAAGAACATATAGCTCACAATAGAACTCTTTAGTTTGACTGTAGCGCCTCTTATCTATTGGCAAATACGGTTCAGCTTCATTGCTTTGTTCTTTTTTTTTCCATCTGAACTTCATTCATTCTCTAACTCATCAATTTTCTTCAATCAATTAGACAACTATAATCATATCAATTTGTTGTTACATTTGTGATTCATTTATTAGCAATAAACAAGAATCATCTATAGAATTATCACACAGTGAACATATTCTAGGTCATGCACATCATATGCTCAATCTTAAATGATATTATTATCGTTCTAGACTTCTTTCATACGTTGATCTTGTCCAAAAATAATTGAATGATATATCATTAGAGGAATAAACTAAAATATTTCTATTTTTTTAAGATAAAAGAAAAATGGTTATAATAAATGAGAATGATGATATATATTCATTGATTCGTCAAAATAATACATATGCTGTTCGTCTTTGGCTTGATAATATAACAAATGATATTCATCAGAGGTTTTTTTTGGAGTTGATCAAAAGGAACTCTTTTTTTGTTCTCATAGAATTTCTTTATTCTAGTGATGAACATGGATTTACTCTTCTTCATTGGGCAACATGGTATGGTCGCTTATCAATAGTTCAATTATTACTTCAACGTGGTGCTCGTATTAATGCAGTTAATCGAGGTAAAATATCAATTATTACTTGTTTTACTATGTATTATATAAAATTTCAGGTGA